GTAGTGGAGGAAGCAGATGTGAGGGGAAACAGAGCTATGGGGGGAAAATCCTATTTGATGCAAAACTTCTGCATCATGGTGGTCTTCCTAGTGGTTCTTAAACTGTGGTTTAGGAAAACCCACTGGTTGGCCACAAGTGTCTCCTCAAGATTTTTGTGGGCTAAATTTCTTAGTATAAGGAATGGTGTTTATACTTTAGTATATTCACTAATAGTAATAGTGACAAAAATAATGTACCACTAATAGAGCATTTACTTGTGCCAGATACTTGGTTTAGCATTTTATAATACATTTTCTCAATGAATATTCTGGCCAGAACCTGAAAAGTAGGTCAAGTCTTTATTTAAAATTGAGACATAGACTCAAAAAGGTTAAATGGCTTGCTATAGATCACACAGCTAGAGAGAAGTGGAGCCTGGTATCAACCTGATACTCTTATATATAAATTTCTTACAGATCATTGGTACCTCCCAAAAATAGTTCTTTGCTTCTGCTGTGAGAGTATGCTTTATTCTGCCCAGGACACACATACATGTAGCAAGTTCTTTTGGTGATCCATGGGTCAAATAAATGAGAAATTGTCATGAACTTGGTTCTGCCCATATGACTGGTACAAAACTCTCATAAGCAGAATATAGTAACAGGCACCCTATTTTGAGTCTTTGTGGTATACCAGGAACTACGTTGGGTAATTTGCATAGATTATTGCATTTAAGTTTTACAGCAGTGTACATATTATTACACTTATTGATGTAAGGGGCATCACATTAAAGGGTTGGAACTTGCTACGTAGTAAATGGATGAGATGAGATTTTAACTGAGGTCTGTGTAGCTCTAGGTTTACAGTTGTTTGTTATTTTCAAAGTGGAAAATTCAAGAGGTGAGAAAAGAGAACGTTGTTTTATGTCTACAAAATTTCAGTTTGGTCTTCTCATCTTCCTCCATGTATAAGAATACTCAGTGACCTTGACTGTTGGTTGAACAAAAAGCTATAAGTTAAGATAAGGTTAGTTGGCCTTGTTTTAGTCCAGTTATGGGAAAGGTGCCGCTTTAAAGCGTTTTAAGCACATTGCCAAAAGATAAATTAACACCCGGAATGTCAAGTGGATGTTTATGTCCTCCCACACCTTCCTAGTTGCCCCTTTATAGCTTCAGAGGTGAGCATTGTTATAACAGACTGATGTCCTGAATTAGATTTTTCTCTTTTGCTATTTCAGTGTAGTGACAAACTCCTTCATGTAATATACCTCTATTCTTCGCTTTACTCACTGGAATAAAGGCTTTGAAGCATTCTCCTTGGAACAGACCATTGGGAAAATGATGGTGTACTGTATCACACCTTTTAATAAACCACATTATATTCGGAGAAAGAGGGAGCTTTTTTGTGGTTTGAAAACTTGATATTAACATTGTCCTGACCAGAAAATGCCAAAACTTGCCCACCCACCCAGTTGTGTTTAGGCTTCTAAAAATAATGTTATTCCTCCAAACTCAGACATCTGTTTTCACTCTATTGCCAATTTAAATGCTGCTGTGTACTCTGTGTATCATGGCTACTTTCCCAGTATTTTGAAAATTTGCTCAGGGTAAGGGGATTTTACAAGTTCTCAAAAACATGAAATATTCCTCAACGGTAGCTGTACCACATACTGGCTAAGTGAGATGGCAGGTACCCACATAATTAAAGAAGTGCACCTGTGTGTGACTTGTGTTCCTGCTGCTGATGTTAATGGAATAGTGGAATTCCATTTGAAGGCTGAGCGCCTTCCTAGGAACACTTCAGGTTGCTCCGGTGATCAACGTTAAATATCCACCTAGACAATGATTCCTGGCAATTCGATGCTGGTGTTTATGATGCTGGTGGTGTTTTGTTTTGGTGTGGGGGTTGGGTTTTGTTTTGTTTTGTGTTCGTTTGTCTAGGTTTTTGGTCACAGCCACTTTTTGTCAGTGGACACTATGAAGAGCCCATCACATAGGTAACCTTACTTGATCTTTATAGTGGTTTGAGGGTATAGATGTTACTATTCTCATTTTTACAGGGGGGGAAACTGCTGCTCAGATGGTCTGAGTCACTTGCCAAGACTGCTACTTGACCTGGGTATTTTCTGCCACAATGGGCTTCCTGCCAGGCTTAAAGATCTGTTTTTTTTTTTTTTTTTTCCAAGAAGATCTGGCTGAGACCATTCAAGGAAAGGTTGAGGTCATCACACATGGTGGTAGTGTTTTGGGCAGGCTCAGTCAGCAGGAAGTGCTGCTTTCTTGCATGGGCGGCCTTGGGAATTGAGGAGAGCCCAGTCTCAGGAATGCCTGGGTGGCTGCACAGCTAGCTGGGACTCCCTGATCTGGCTCCAACAGCTTACCCTTGTCTTAGGATTGAGGAACCTAGTGATTTTGAAAAAAATTTTTAACTGAAAAAATTTTAAATTGTAGTACTAGAAAGTCAACCCAAGGCATTGTGTGTGCTAAGCAAGTGCTCCACCCCTAATGATTTTTTAAAATAGCCCTAAGTGTGGGGACTTCCTCATCTGACCCAGCATGAATTATTTCCAATTTTTTTTTTTTTTTAATTCAGAGGTGTATTTTGGAAAATTAGGCTTTTTATAAGCATTGAAAAGCTAATTCATTTCTTGACTTCCATTCAACTTAGGATCAAAGTGTGATATTTAATAGAGCTTTTATGAAGTCCTATCCTCTAGCTCTTGTTCCAGGGTTAGAAGTAGATGGTATGATCCAGCCTTTAAGGTCAGGAGATATTTTCTGTGCAAGCATCTCAGGGACTGATGTATCACAAGCTGAAAGTGAGACCTTACCCTGTCTCCTCTCTTTAGTCCTCTCTTATCTCTTCAGGTCTTTAGGTGCAGTTGATCATGATCAACTCACTGACTCTAGAAAACAGAAGTGGGAGAACATAGGAAATTTCCCCTATTCCTCTTTTTAAATAAAAAAATAAATTTTCAAACTCATACATGATAGTTGATATGCTTTTTCTATTCATTGATGGAGCATACAGTAAGAAAACTGTTTACTAATTCAGTAGCATTTTAAGGCAATTTTGTATGTTTTAAACCAAAGAGAAGTTATATGAATTTAAAAACACCTAATATATGTAAGACAGGTTATCTATTTATTAATCTTTGTGATACTTTGGGTTTCATATGGAGTCGTACAATTCTGTATTGACTCTAGTAGCTTACAAAAGATGTCACCTGGACATGAGTAACTACTGCCCAGAATCACAGCCAGGAAATAGTCTTGTTACCAGTAAATCTTGCCTCCTAAGTCAGCATTTTCCTGGCGTGCTTAGTATGCTGAGGTGGGAGGATTACTATCTAAAATATATTATTTCTCTAAATAATAATAATAGTTTTCAGTAAGTTTTGCAGAGTGTGGGAGGATACTGCCTTCAAAAGGGGTGAATATGATTTACTAGATGTCAACAGCGATAGTGATTAAGTGCTTACTGTGGGTAGAGGTGAGCTTTTAGTTACTTGGAGATGATCTTTTAGACTATACCCTAAACTGAGTGCAACCAGTTATTATAGTCCATTATGATCCCCTCATTTCAAGAACCAGGAATTCAGACTGATTGTTTTTTTGTGGAGACATTATATTTTTGAGTTCTGAAGAATTGCTCATATCTGCAACCTGTGGCTAGGTCGTCTAGTGCTCTGGATGTGGCCTTACATCCTCATTAAACTTGACCTGGTGATCTCAGGCTAGATTCTCTTGACCTCCCTCAAGTCTTGCAGCACATAGATGTTTTATCACTCACTTGGTACTGATATTTTATCTGAACTGTTCCAGATCTTATGTTCTGTGGTCACTGCTTCAAGAGGTAAGATCATAGCAAAAGCATGGACTAAGTTAGAAAAAACTGGATGTGATTTCCAGCCATTCCAATTATTAGTGTTGTGGTCCTAGGCAAGTTAGACTGTCGTTGCTTATTAAAAGGAAATAATTAAAATTTCCTTCCAAATGTATTGTGTTGATCTTGTAGTCAAATAAATTTAGTTTGAAGTTTAGATGCTCCTTGATGTATGATTTGTTTGAAAATATCCTAAGTTGAAAATCCATTGAATTCACCAAACCTTACTAACAGCCTAGCTTAGCAACAGAAGGCCCCGCAGAGTTTCATTTGTTTCTCCTTGTGATCGAGTGGCTGACTGGGAGCTATGGCTCACTGCTGCTGCCCAGCCTTGCAGATGGCTGGCCAGGAAGAGAGAGCACAGCTTCAGCTGAACATGTATTGCTTTTGCACTGTGAAGCTAAAACGTTGTAAGTTGAACCATTGTAAATCAGGGACCATCTGGGGCTCTAGTTCTACATGCTGTGCCTCAGTATCAGAGAAATGCCACCTTTGAATGTAGGCTGCTTTCTGGTTTTTTAAATTTTATTTTATTTTATTTTTAATGTCTAGAACAGGACCTGGAATATACTAAAATCTCAGTTGTCTCATGAGTGAAGAAAGAATAAGAATCCAGGGCTAAAATATGCCATTCTGATGGGAGATTAAAAATGATAACAAAATTTTTTATGTGATTGGCAGGTACTGTACTAGTTATAGCATCTTTTTTCAGTGATCAGGTACTTTGGTTGGATATGTAGATTTTGAGTATATGGTTAATGGTGGCTGCAGGCTTTTGCCAAATATTTTAATTGGCATTAGTGAGTGACCCAATAAGTTATTATTTATTTGTGTATTTTGGGTGCAAATGACATTCTTTAAATATATTGAATTCTGTCTAGGCCATTTTAGACCTAACCCAAAACTCATTGGAAATCCTGTGATAGTTGCCAGATGGGCAGGGAAAGTTTGAGAAAAAACATTGTTGGGCTAATGTCTTACTTGGAAAAGAACATGATTCCTTTCCACAGACAGTTATGCAAACCAAGACCGGGATATCAATGGTATGCTGCTTCTGGAAGCTACTCCAAATTCTGAAACCTAATAGAATAGTTGATTCACAAAAACTCATCTCTTTTCTCCTTTTTTCCCCTAGACTATAGAATCTAACTGGCGGTGTGGACGACACAACTTGCAGAGGATTCAGTGCCGCTCTGAAAATAGTAAAGGTGTCTACTGTTTACAATATGATGATGAAAAAATTATCAGTGGCTTACGAGATAATTCTATTAAGGTGAATGACTACATTTTTTATGTGTTATTTTTAGAAACGTGGCTATGTGCGAGACACTAGATGTGACAATCTTTCCGTTTACTGCAGATTGGTTTTTATCTGTTCCACTCAACTATGGCAGCTCCCAGGGTGATTCTGAAAAACTAGAGCCAGAGCATTTCCCTGTAACTAAGAAAGGCCCTGGCTTACCTCACTTCTTACCCTCCTCTAAGTACACTTACCTTCTATGGTCTTTGTAGAGCTGTAAGCCGAAACTATCCAGTATCCCAGGGCCCTTGATTACTTTGCTGATTGGTGAGAATGTTACCAGTTTGCCTGTAAGTCAGAGTCATTACCTATTATGGTTTTTGAGGAGGGCTCAGATGATAATATGAAAAATGATAAAGTGACTTAAATTGTTTTCATTTTTAATTTGGTGATGTGCTGCATTATTTTTCCATGCTTAATCTGTTTGGTGGTTGACCTGACAGAGTTGACCTACATTGTTTGTAGCTTCATTCCTCATGTTTAAGAAAACATAAAAGATTTTTAAAATAGGTTTGTTTTAGTTATAATTTACATATAAAAAGTTTGCTGTTTGATGTAAAGCAGACACATAGAGGTGTACAATTGCAATAACTAACAAGATACACAACAGTTCTGTTGTCCCATCAAATCCCCTTGTCTTGTCCCTTTGTAACCTTCCTACCCAGCTCTCCCTATACTCTGGAAACCAGCGATCTTTTTCATCTCTATATTTTTTTTGCTTTTTTCAGAATGTTTTTATTAGTGGATTTGTGTAATATATAACGTTTTAAATCTGGCTTTTTATATTTAGTATAGTGCATTGGAGATACATTTATGTTCTTCATTCTTTTTTACTGCCGAATAGTACTCCATTTTATTGGGTACACTACAGTGTGCTTATCCATTTAGTATTTCAGGGACAATTGAATTATTTAGAATTTCTCACAATTGTGACTCAAGCCATTGTACATCTGTGCATTTAGTTTTTTGTGAGAACATAGTTTTCAGTTCACTTAAGTAAAAACCTATGAGTAGATTGCCTGCTTACATGGTGAGATGATCTTGTGTTTGGTGGTGATGTTTTAGGTGCATCACCAAATGCACAATGAAAGAAAGAATTAATAAGCTAGAATTCACTCAAATTAAAAACTTCTTCTATTTAAGATATACTATCAAGAGCATAAGAAACTAAGTTGCAGATTGGAAAAATATTTGTAAAAGACATTTTTAAAAACCTTTTAAACTCAACAATAAGAAAATAAACAACCACATGAAAAATGGGCAGAGACCTTAATAGACATCTCACCAAAAAAGATATACAGATGGCAACTCAGCATGTGTAAAGACACTCCACACCATATGGCATCAGGAAAATGCAAATTAAAACAACAATGAGATATCGCTACATATCCATTAATATGGCTAAAATCCAGAACACTGACAACACCAAATGCTGGCAAAGATATGGAGCAACAGGAACTCTTCATTTATTGCTCATGGAAATGTAAAATGGTACAGCTACTTTGGAAGGCAGTTTGGCAGTTCTTATATAACTAGACATACTCTTACCATCTGATCCAGCAGTTGCACTGTTTAGTATTATTCAGAGGAGTAGAAAACTTATTACTACACAAAAACTTGCACATTATAACAGCTTTATTCATAATTGCCAAATTTAGTAACAACTAAAGTGCCCTTAATAGATGAGTGTGAGTGTGTGTGTGTATACATAAAATATCTATATATCTGCATCAGTATCTATATATACACTGTAGATAATGGCACAGTTCTTATCAGTGAAAGGAAATTAGATTAGCAAGATGTGAAAGGTATAGAAGAACCTTAAATGCATATTTCTAAACTAAAGTAGCAGCCAATCTGAAAAGGCAACATGGTGTATTTTTCAACTATCTAAGGGGCTGGGGATTTAGCTCAGCGGCAAAAGCGCCTGCCTGGCAAGCGCAAGGTCGTGAGCTCGGTTCCTGGTACCGGAGAAAAACCATCAACTATCTGACATTCTACAAAAGAGAACTGTAGAGACAGTAAAAGAAGGGAGAAAAAGAGTACCCATAGTGTAAAAACAGCTATTACTAACATCTAATCTTTTAAAAACATAGTTTTTATGTCACTAAATAGACAATTTTTATTATGATTCTTACATGGCAAACTCTAATAAAACATTATATTTTCTCCGTTAGAACTCTTAGTAGTTTATTTGGGATTCTTCTGAAACATTGATTGCCCCCCCCCATCATGCTGGAGAGTGAACCCAGGGCCTTTGCACTGATCTATATTCCACCTTTTAAAAATATTGAGCAGGTGAAACCACTGTGGAAATCAGTTTGGAGATTCCTCAGAAAACTAGGCCTAGAGGTCCCATTCAACCCAGCTATCCCCCTGCTGGGTATTTTCCCAGAAGATCTAAAAACATCATATCACAGTGATGTATGTGCACCTATGTTCA